GAAGTGGCGGCGGCGGCACGAGGTGAGCGTGGCGGCGGCGGCCTAGGCTCCGGGGTTCCCGTCGTGTCCGAGCCTTGCGCGCCGGGAAAGCTGCTGCGGCCTTGGCGGCTCTTCCCCGCGGGGGGCCCTGCTGCACCCTCTGTGCGCGGTGCTCCAGCTCCTCGCGGACCCGCCTCGGTCTTCGGGCCAGGAGGGCAGTTTGTCGGCCTCTCCCCCGCCCCGCCCCTGGGGCCAGGGTGGGCTTGCTGTGAGAAGCGGAGCGAGCCAGAGCACGTCCCCCGTGTCTTCTCCCCAGGGCCATGGCAGACTTCGAGGATCAGTCCGGATCGGAGTCGGAGGAATCCCTCGTCACCGACAGAGAGGTAGGCGCCTCGTGCTGAGCAGTGCGTGCAGGATTGCTCCCTGCCGCCCCAGAAAGGAGGTGGGCAAGGGGTTCCCCAGGCTGAGTACCCCAGAGACTAGGAAGTCAGGAGTGGTGGTAACGCTCTGGGGCACCATGACTCGCTCGTGCCCTAGTCGTTCTCAGCTGGGGCCTGTGGTGTGGCCCTGGACAGAGGGACCGAGCATGCCGCGTTGCAGCTTGCAATACACTAGCACCTGGTGTTTTTGCCTCGGCTGTTAGTGTGGTGCGTGGCCTCCTCACGTCTTGTCTTTGCTCTCACACCCTGCTCGGAGAGGCGTGGACTTGTATGGATGAGTGGACTCAGCACTGCTGACTGAAGGGTCCTTTGGTCTGTCCAGATTGTCAGACCCTAGGCAGGGGACACAGCCCACCTTCCTTTTAAGATGCTGGGGGACCTGACCACTCTTCTTCCCTACAGCTCCAGGAAGCGTTTTCCAGGGGTGCCCTGAAACCTGGGCTGAACATTGTGCTTGAAGGGAAAAAGAAGGCCCTGAACAACGTGGTGAGTACCATGCCTTGCAGCTCTTGGTGTGAGGCGCTTGCTTGGGGAGGTTGGGCTCTTGCCTGTGGTTACACAAAGGAGTCAAAGAGATTGTAAATGAGAAGCCCTTAAGGTTTAGTTCATTAGGAACCTCAGAGATGTTTCTGGGAGCCACTGCAGAGCTGTGTAGTGACAAAGGCTGGTGTTTGTGGTAGAGGTGGTGCTGCTGGCCCCATAGCCCTCTTCTCCTGCAAATGGACATGATTAGCTGTGTTAGTCTGAAATTGAGCTGTGATTGCCTGTTCCTGTGAATTGACCATGTTCGCTGCTGTTGCGCGGAGGTGCTGCAGCTGATGGTGCTCATTGACTTTAGCTGCTGTGTAGAGTGGTGAGATCTGCTTTCAATATTTCATGGCCTGTGAGGATCTTTGCAAATTGTTAGAGCTCTGCTTATAACAGGTTCTGTAGAGGTTCTGTTTTCTGGATTGGATAAGATGTTAAGAGGTTGAGTCCCACAGCTTGGCTGTGGTCTGCAGAGTACTGGGTTTGTTTCAGATTTTGCAGAAAATGTTTTATTGTTGCCATAGGGCTAACCTGCTGAATTTAAGTTGTTATGCGACACTTGTGATTGTTTAGCTGGGGACTGAATATTGGATGATGAGCTTTCATTAGGAGCCCATCCTAATTACTGTGTGAATGTTGTTACTCCATAATACAGTTGCCTAGGAAGCACTGCTCTCATTCGCACCAGTGTAAGATGTGCTAGAATGCTTTCTGGAGGAAGCCTGTGGGATGTGGGTCAAGGATGACCTCTACCTGACTCAAGAAGTCTGTGGGCCAACGAGAGGCAAAGCGCTGCTCGACCTGGTACTGGCTACTGGGGATGACCTAGTCGGCGACCTAGTGATCGATGGGAAGCTGGGTGACAGCGAACACGAGCTGATCACCTTCACCATCCGCCAAAAAGCTGGCAAAAAGCTGGCAAGCAACGCGCAAGTCCTTGACTTCAGGAAAGCCGACTTTGACAAGCTCAGGAGGCTTGTCAGTGAGGCCCTAAGGGACCATGACCACGGAGAAAGGGGAGTTCAAGAAGAGTGGTTGCTCCTCAAGGGAGCGATCCTCAATGCACAAACTAAGCCTATTCCATCTCGGAGGAAAGGCAGCAAGAGGGCACAGCAGCCCCCCTGGCTCTCCAGGGACCTAGCAGACCTCCTGAGGCTAAAAAGAAAGGCCTACAAAGGATGGAGGATGGGAGTCACCTTCAAGGAGGATTATTCTGCACTGGTCCGGTCCTGTAGGGAGCAGACCAGGAAAGCCAAGGCTGCAACTGAACTCCAATTAGCTTTGAGCATCAAGGACAATAAAAAGTCCTTTTTCAGATATGTGGGGAGCCGGAGGAAAAGCAGGGGCAACGTTGGACCCCTGGCGGGCAGGAGACGGGGACGAGCCGGGGCGAGAGAAGCAGCACAATAGGGACAAGCCTTCCTGCCGCCGTCTCTCCGCAGCCCACCCCGCTGCTCCTCTTCCCCGCCTCGCTTAACCGGCTCCGATGTGGAGCCGGGCAGTGCCCTTGCAGCAGGCCCCGAGATTCATGCTGTCCGCAAAGACGGGGGGGGGTTATTTTTTGAGGTGGAAGTTTGCATCCGAGCTGGCTCGGGGTTGCGCAGCCCCGGGCAGCGGGAGCCTGGAGTAGCACGAGATCTGCAAGGCACAAGGCGCTGAGGGGCAGGCCGCTTCAAGGGGGGGTTGTAACGAGTTGAGGGCCCCAACTCTTCCGTCCAGGAGGAGCGTGCACCCGCTGCAGATGCTTCAGGGTTGTTGTGTGGGTTTTTTAAACCCAAAAGCTTGCTAAGAAAAATGTTGCTGACTATTTAAGTTGGTCTAATAAAAGATATCGGCTTCACCTGAAGAACCGTGTCTGCCTGTGTCCTTAGACCAACACGGCTCCCCCTACACCCCAGTGAAAAAGAGGCTTGTGTAAAACTCGGCGTCAGCAGAACGCGTCCGGGTGGGTTTGTAGCCTCACCGATCACAAGGGGTTTTATTTAAACGTGTTTCGTAAATGTAAACGTGGCCCTGTGTGCCTGTAGCCATAAGTCAGAAACCTGCTTTGGTGCTGAGTGAAAATTAAATATCCAGCAGTTGGTATTGAACAGAACGGGTTCAGTGGAGAGCACGGGTGAGCGAGACCCGCTGTATCGTCATGCTAAGTTTTTTGGTGGGGCAGTGAGACGCGCCAGGCATTCTCCCTGCCACGTTTCCGTTCCAGAGGTCGAGGGCCCCATGTAAAGATGCTTGTCATGAGGGAAATGTTAGGCCAAGAAAAGTTGGGAGGTTAAATAACAACACCGTGCAAATGACCGGTACCTATGCACAAACAAAATACACCCTCTTTTTAGCACTTCGTTGGCCATTTCTAGAGGGAACGTTACATTTGAGTAGAAAACGGTAGTGAATAAAGGGGAGTTTTTACATTCCATAAGCCAGAGTTACACAACTTCAAAAAGGATGTGGAGAAGCTTGAGAGAGTCCAGAGAAGAGCCACGCGCATGATCAGAGGTCAGGGAAGCAGACCCTACGATGACAGGCTGAGAGCCCTGGGGCTCTTTAGCCTGGAAAAGCGCAGGCTCAGGGGTGATCTGATGGCCACCTACAAGTTTATCAGGGGTGACCACCAGTATCTGGGGGAACGTTTGTTCACCAGAGCGCCCCAAGGGATGACGACTAGGTCGAATGGTCATAAACTATTACAAGACCGTTTCAGGCTGGACATAAGGAAGAATTTCTTTACTGTCCGAGCCCCCAAGGTCTGGAACAGCCTGCCGCCGGAGGTGGTTCAAGCGCCTACATTGAACACCTTCAAGAGCAAACTGGATGCTCATCTTGCTGGGATCCTATGACCCCAGCTGACTTCCTGCCCCTGGGGCAGGGGGCTGGACTCGATGATCTTCCGAGGTCCCTTCCAGCCCTAATGTCTATGAAATCTATGAAATGTGCTAAATCAGTGTGTGGCGCATGCACACTGTCTGCACTTAGTTTCTAGTATCTTACCAGACGAGAAACTCCACAACAAGCTAAATCAGGGGTTGGAAACCTTGTGTCACTGGGGCCACTGCCTGCAACCCAGCCTTTCCTGTGGGACCACACGCATACACCCCCAGGTGATCAGCAGATGCTACCAAGGGAAGAAATAGAAAAAGGTAGATGCCAGTGGAGCCACTCTGCTCCAAAATGTACACTCAGAAGGTGAGAGAAACAAGATTTGCAAGACAAACTTAGTCTATTTTATCAGATCAGTTGAAAAGAGTTGCTGGCTACTTGGTATACAGTCCTGCCTCAGTTC